TAATCATTGTCACTTGACATTCAATGGCCACTGAATGCCCCACAATCAACATCCAGGCTGTGACATTCCCTCTAATTTTTCTGCCACTGTGCACACCTCCAGAGGCAGTTTCCAGAATTGGGAGCTATTCATTGACACATCAGTTGGCATGTGTAGCTATGTGGGCACACTATTTACCGGGAGCTTTACTTCAGTGTTAACATTGACTTGAAGCTAATCTGGGCTAGCCATATGGAAACTCTGGTTACAAGATCATGGCAGAGGCTAGGAATCCTGCAGCAAGTAACTCGCCTCTTTCCACCATCTACAAGATACAAGTCAGGAGTGTGATGTAATATCCCTACTTGGTCTGAAGGTGGATTAATGACCCAGACCTGAAGGAAATAGCCAAGGAGATTGTGGAGGTATTGGTGATGATCTTTCAGGAATCACTGGAGTCAAGGAGGGTTCCAAAAGGCTAATGTTTAAGAAGGGAGTGAGGCAGAAGACAGGAAATCGTCAGCTGGTTAGCCTGACCTCGGTCTTAGTAAGATTTGCGAGTCCATTGTTGAGGATGAGCTTGTGGAGTATTTGCAAGTGCATGGTAACATAGGATTGAGTCACCACAGCTTCATAAGGCGGAGGTCATGCCTGACAAATCTGTTAGAATTCTTTGAAGAGGCAATGAGCAAGCTAGACAAAGGAGAGACAGTGGACACGACCTGTTTGGATTTCTAGAAGGCCTTTGACGAGGTGCCACACAAAATGCTGCTAATTAAGAGCCCATGGTGTTAGGGGCAAGGTACTGGCAGGGACAGAGGATCGGCTGACTGGTAGAAGGCAGAAAGTAGGGATAAAGGAGTCTTTATCAGGATGGCAGCCAAAGAATAGTGGAGTTCCACAGGGATCAACATTGGGACCACAACTTTTCATGTTATACATTAAGCATCTGGATGAAAAAGATTTTGTTACACCTGAAAGAGTGCAGAAAAGGTTTACAAGGATGTTGCCTGGTTTGGATTGTTTGAGCTATAGGGAGAGGCTGAATAGGCTGGAGCTATTTTCCCTGGAGTGTTGGAGGCTGAGGGATGACCTTAGAGGTTTATAAAATCATGAGGGCATGGATAGGATGAATAGCCAATGACTTTTTCCCAGGGTAAGAGACACCAAAACTAGAAGGCATAGGTTTAAGTTAAGAGAAGAAAGATTTAAAAGGGACCTTCGGGGCAACCTCTTCACACAGAGGGTGGTGCGTGCATGGAATGAGCCGGAGGAAGTGGTGGAGGCTGGTACAATTACAACATTTAAAAGGCATCTGAATAGAAAGGGTTTAGAGGGATATGGGCCAAAAGCTAGCAAATGGTACTACATTAATTTGTGGATGAGTTGGACCAAAGGGTCTGTTTCTGTGCTGTACACCTCTGTGACTTTATAAGGAACTGAGAGCATTATTGCTAAGTTTGCAGATGGCACAAAAATAAGTGGAGGGACAGGTAGTATTGAGGAAATGAGGAGGCTGAAGAAAGACTTGGACAGGCTAGGAAAGTGGGCCAGGAATTGGCAGATAAAATACAATTGGAAGTGTGAGATTATGCACTTTGATAGGAAGAATATAAGTATAAACTATTTTCTAAATGGGGAAAGGCTTTGGAAATCTGAAACATAAAGGGATTTGAGAGTTCAGGATTCTCTTAAGATTAACATGCAGGTTCAGTTGCCAGTTAGGAAGGCAAAAGCCATGTTAGCATTCATTTCAAGAGGGCTAGAATACCAGAGTAAAGATGTACTGCTGAAGCTGCATAAGGCTGTGGTCAGACTGTATTTGGAATATTTTCAGCAGATTTGGGCCCCGTATCTAAGGGTGCGCTGGCGTTGGAGGGGATCCAGAGGAGGTTTATAAGAATGATCCTGGGGATAAAGGGCTTGTCACATCAGGAGCGGTTGAGGACTCTGGGTCTGTACTCAAAGGAATTTAGAAGGATGAGGGGAGATGTTATTGAAACTTACAGAATACTGAGAGGCCTAGATAGCGTGGACATAGAGAATATGTTTCTGCCAGTAACAGAGACTGTGAGCCAAGGGCACAACCTCAGTTGAAGGGATAACCCTTTTAGACCTGAGATGAGGAGGAATTTCTTCAGCCAGAGGTTGGTGAATCTATGGAACTCATAGCCATAGAAGGCTGTGGAGGCCAAGTCATTGAGTGTATTTAAGATAGAAATAGTTAGGTTCTTGATTAGTAAAAGGAACAAAGGTTACAGGGAGAAAGCAGTAGAATAAGGTTCAGAAACATATCAACCTGATCGAATAGTGGAGCAGACTTGATGGGCTGAGGGCCTAATTCTACTCCTCTATCTTTTGTTATTTTTTAGCCTGGATGAGTGCAGCTCCAAACACTAAAAGAAGCTTGACACCATTCAGTAAAAACATCCTGCTTAATTGACACCATATCAACAAATTTTTACTCCGTCCACCACTGGTGCTCAGTAGCAGCTCATCTACAGGATGCACTGCAGAAACCCAACAAGGTTCCTTAGACAGCACCTTCCAAAGCTCCAACCACTTCCACCTGGAAGGACAGGGTAGCAGATACATAGGAATGCCAGTACCTGTAATTTCCCCTACAATCCATTCACTGTCCTGACTTAGAAATCTATTGCTGTTCCTTAAACTGTCACGGGGTCAAGATCCTAGAATTCACTCAGTGACAGTGTTGTGGGTGTACCTGACCAAATGGACTCCAGCAATTCAAGAAGGAAGTTTGGCACCAGCTTCTCACTGCCAGCCATTGGATGGGTAATACATGTTGGCCCTTCCAGCAACACCCATGTAACTTGAATGAATAAAACATGTTGCATTTCAGATTTCCAAGTCGTCTTTCACCTGATGCTTTCTGCATTTCTCGCCTCCTGCCCTTACAGTATAAAATCATATCCATTCCTTAAATTACTTTAAAAATGAAGTGGTAATTATATTTTGATAAATCCAAGTGTACAACAAATTTGCTGTCAAATTAATTAAATATTGGAAGGTATAAGGGCGTGATTTTATAAACTGTGCAATTCTGCAAGGCTGTATACAGAATTGTGTTACTGTACCCATTAATTACACTATACAGGACCTAGGTTTGTATGATCAGAAGGAATTTGGATTATTGACTTGTTTGAAGAAATAGCATAATTTATAAAACTGTTTTGATTTCATGTTCTAGTGTTTTTTGCTTTTTGAAGACTTTTCAAACATGAGACAATCAGTATGTACTTTCTTAATTTACTGAAGGATCCTCTGTGATGCCTATATGGACTTTAGTAAGGTCTTTGACAATGTCCCACATGACAGGCTAGTCGTGAAGGTTAGGTCGCATGGGATCCACGGAGAGCTAGGTAATTGGATTCAAACTTGGCTCGATGGTAGGAAGCTGAGGGTGATGGTTGAAGGTTGCTTCTCGGACTGGAGGCCTGTGACTAGTGGTGTGCCACAGGGATCAGTGCTGGGACCTTTGTTATTTATTATTGACATAAATGATCTGGATGTGAGTGCACAAGGCATGATTAGCAAGTTTGTGGATGATGCAAAATTAGAAGGTATAGTTGACAGCAAAGAAGGTTATCAAAAATTACACAGGGATCTTGATCAGATGGAGAAGTGGTCTGAGGATTGGCAAGTGCAATTCAATACAGATAAGTGCAAGGTATTGCACTTTGGAAAGTCAAACCAACGTAGGACTTGTACGGTAAATGATAAGGTCCTGAGGAGCATTGTGGAACAGAGAGACCTAGGAATACAAGTACGTAGTTCATTGAAAGAGGCGTCACAGGTGAGCAGAGTGCTGAAGAAGACATTTAGCATGCTGGCCTTCATCAGTCGGGGCGTTGAGTATAGGAGTTAGGACCTTATGTTACGGGTTGTATAAGTCGTTGGTGAGGCTGCACTTGAAGTATTGTACACAGTTTAGGTCACCATGTTATGGGAAAGACATAGTTAAATTGGAAAGTGTGCAAAGAAAATTTATGAGGATGTTGCCAGGACTAGTAGGCCTGAGTTATAGGGAGAGGTTGGCTGGGATTGGACTTTATCCCTTGGAATGTAGGAGAATGAGGGATGACCTTATTGAGGTGTATAAACTCATGAGGAGCATAGACAGGATGAATGCATGTAGTCTTTTGCCCTGGGTGGGGGAATTGAAAATTAGAGGGCATAGTTTTAAGGTGACAGATTTAAGAAGGACCTGAGGGGCAAATTTTTCATGCAGAGAGTGGTGTGTATATGGAATAGGCTGCCAAAGAAAGTGGTTGAGATAGGTACAATAGCAACATGTAAAAAAACATTCAGATAGGTGCGTGGATGGGAAGGTTTTAGAAGGATATGGACCAAGTGCGGGCGATTGAGTGGGCAGCATGGACCAGTTTGGGCCGAAGGGCCTGTTTCCTTGCAGTATTGCTGTATGACTATGCTTTTAGTATAGGTTTTAGTGTATGTTGTATTAAAAACTGGGAACATTGTAATAATGTGCATTGAAACTTTCTGCTGCACAAGTGGAGATGTTCATGATGTGGTATCTCCTTAAACCATAAGTTGCACCACTTGCTAGTTCCAAAATGATCAAAAGACCTGGCATGGAGTCAATGTCTAGACTTCCACTGTTTCTCTGGGCCTAAGGGGGATATAGCGGCTGCGGTATTCCAGGATCTCCCCCAAACATGGTCCCAGGGAAGAGTTTTGCTGGGGCAATGCCGAACAGATGAAATTTTATTTGGTGCTGAACTTCCCATAACAAAACAGTGATTCTAATTTAAAATGCTGATGAATAATTCCAGTGAATGCATAAACACAGTGTGTTATTTTTGCATTACTGAAAGTTTCAAAATTGGTCCCCTTTTCTGCATGACCTTTTCAAATGCAATATGATCAATTTCCAAGTTCCTGTATATTCACATGGTTGAAAAAGGTACAAGAATGCTATTTACTGTATCAACAAGGAAGAAGTAATCAGATTTTATTACTCAGTGTAAAAACCTGACTTTGAGATACTAAATAACAATTCTGGTCTGTACGTTTTCACATTATTTCTTTCTCAGCATATTTTACATTCTTAAAAAGTCAAAGATATTTATAGACCTCACCGAAGTTAGGGTTGAAATGTACATTGAAAGGCAGCTACCAAACAAGTCATGCTTATGTTTACGTTCATGAATATTTCATAATCATACTGTATGAAAATTACTTTATGGCTAACTTCTGTGTAGAGCAGAAAACTTAAAAAAAAGTTATTTAATTAAATGTATTCATAATTTGAATAGTCTTATCTAAGCAGGGAATCAGATATTTTATATTTTTTATTATGTTTTTAATATTTTGTACCATGTTTTTGTCAAACAACTTTCTCCATAATAATTGGTTCCAGTTTACAATTCTTTTGTCAAACATAATTTTAAGTACTAAACAACAAAGTATGGTCAAATTCATCAATTCATTAATTATTTTTTGCAAAAATACAGGTATTAGAAATGCAATCAAATTCCAACTTGCTTCTCAATTAGTGTATGGACAGTTAACTATCTTATTACACAAACACGCATATATATATAAAATACATATATATATGGATATAAGCAAAACAATTGGAATCCCCTAGCTTTTAACACAGATGCACACTTGATGAATTGTATGCTTTGCATTTGAGAAAGGGAAGCGCGGATAAATTTCTGGAGTATTTGATACAAAAAGTTCTCTCCTAACTAAGTTTTATAAAAGTTAATGTACAAAATCATTATCTAAAATAAAGAAATTCGAGCATTCCTTCCAACAAATGACAGTAAATCTCCAGGAAACGGTAGTTCCTTCCTCGTTGTGACAGACATCACCGTGATTTACTGCATCTCTAGCTCTGTTCTTTTAGATTTGTTGTTCTGGCTTTTTTGCCTTTTCCTAATGAAGAGAAGGAATCACAAATGTAGGATAATAGTGACAGTTACATCCAGTCAACAGTTCTGACATTATTTATGGCTTGAACACTAAAGTGTCAAAATTCCTCTGTCTACTAATTTAGGTGCATTGATTAACATGTTCACACCACATCCCTATCTGCACTATTTGACAATGTCACAACCAGTTTATTTTGAAAGTATTAGAAATCTCTGTAATGGTGCATGGAGGAACTTGACAAAAATATGTTAAAAATGCACTAAAATTATAGCGAAAGGGATTATCAAATGACCATCACTTACAGACAATTAAGAGTGCATTTACCTGCAGCTTTTTTGTTAAATAGACCCCTGTTAAATTGCCTAGCTCCTGCTGAAGCAGGGAGAATTATTTACATGAAGGACCATCCATACTAATCTTTAGAAAAGAGATCTGTGCCTCCCTGGATATATGCAAATGAAAAGCTGTCTCCCACGAGCTAAAAATGTAATATATTTTAAACTATTAAAGTTGCATTTCTTTTCCTTGGTGGTTTAGGTCAGATCTTAATCTCCTCTCATACTGAGCTTCTTGCACCACTTTATCTATTCCTCCCCTACCCTAGCTTTCTCCCAGCAGTGTGATAATATTTACTGCATGTATTTCACATCCCCTTGTAATTAAACCTATTTATTTTGCTCATAGGTGGATGAGGTTATTGGGAATGCACAAATTCCTGCTGAGGTTGCCCTCCATAATTGCTATTTCTAAGATGAATAAACATTATATATTTTGAACTGCTCAGGTATTTACATTTATTAATGTTATTGGGTCTGAATGAGATCAACATACCTCTGAATGACAAATACAGCTACAAAGGCAATGACAGCAATACCAAAGAGACATCCGAACACAATGGCAGCAGTGTCACCTGACGAGAGAAGGTTTGAGGAAAGTTATTTCATCCTACTGAGACCCAAGTAAAATCACCACAAAAAAGTCATCCTTTGTTCATTGGCAGATATGAAGGTTGTATTACGGGAAGGCAAAGGCAAGTAGATTAACTTATTATTTAGGAAGATCAGTTTTGCCATTAAACCTGAAGAGAAAAGTCAGATATTTACCAGCGGTGGAAACAAGTAGGGACTGTTACTTACATGAAGGACCATTCATACTCATGTTACTCTTAGTGACTTATGGTTTGGATGAGAAGCACAATTAGGACAGCCATAATTTTGCACTGCATAAAGCATAGGAACGTAGAACAGGACTACACCATTCAGAAATTTGAGTTTGTTCCACCATTCAAATAGATCATCAATGGTTCTCAACTCAAGTCAATTTATCCATCTTTGCATATATCCCTGATAGTCTTCCTCACCAAAACTCTACCAACATCAGGAATGAAAATTAAGTTACTTAGTCTTGGAAATAATTTGGGTATTTCACAAAATCCTGCAAAAGTAGTGGTGAACGTGCATAGAACTCAGTGATTTTTGATTCTTTTTGAAGAAAAGGCATATTTAGATGAATAAAATCTGAGAAGATTTATTTGATTATACAGCACTTTAATTTTGTTTCCTATCTGGATATCTTGCCCATGTTTGAAGTCCCACTAGTGGAGCTGGAAGTAGAGAGAGACCTTCCCCTGGCAGGCAGTGGGACAGTGAAGTCCCTTCCTAACACTGATTCATTAAGTTGTAAGGTAAGTAAGATAGGTCAACTCCAAAGTCCAGCAGCAGCTCGGTCAGCATCCTCAGCGTTATCCTGCTAGAAGAGTCCATTACAGAGGCTGCAGGCCCATGGAGAGCAGGAAGGGAGGTCTGGGAAGTGCCAGTGTTGCGGTCAGGCAGGCAAGCCCCCATTGATCTGGGGAAGTCATTAATTACCAGCCGCATGCATGCTGTGCAGCAGCTATTGGTCCATAATTTTGGAACAGTTGTAAAAGTTACATTTTATTGATTTTTTTTTTCATCTGGCAACAACCAGGACAGCCTGCTAAAAGTACAAATGTAAAAGGAAAACAAACTTATTCTGTAAAAGAAGACTGTGCTAATTGGTTAGTGAGTGACCTCTTATTAGTAGATGCATTGCCATAGAGAATGCACCAGATAGATGATGACTGACCATTAGCCACCAAAATTTGTTTGAATTGAAACCAGGCAGCTTTATTGTGAGTGGTCAAGGCATTGTCCTGAGAGAGGAACCAGAGAATGGTGTTGCCTGCTTTGTTAAATTGAAACAGGTGCAATGTGTATTCATGTTTTTTTAATCTGAAAATAACAAGGCCCTGAGTATTAATACAAGTAGCTCCCAGTACATGCAAGTGAACCACACTATGAACCTGACTGACAACCTTAATTTGGTTGCCAGCTTGATTCTTCGCACGCTCGGTATTATTCAACAAATGCAATCCAAACACAGAATCACATCCAACATTTTGAGTTTTGAAAACATAGGCTGATTGGGTACTGTCAGCACCTTGCTTGCCGTGAGCAGCTGAATGGATATCCTGCTTGATATGATCTGATAGCTTTTAGGATTTTCAACTTATCATGACACCAGCCCTGAAATCCAAATGCCTTTTGATCTGATAGCAGTTAGTGGCAAAGGATTAGTTGCTAACAGAATGACACCTTTCAAAACTCAAAAACAATTTGTTTTCCAGTTCAAGTAACAATACCTTCATCTCTTTGCTGAACTTCTTCTTCTTCAGTTTCCACATTGAATCGTCCTTGCCCTTTGGCAGCTACATTAAAAAGAGTACAAAATTAAATAAACATATGCATTCAGTTTCTTCTTTCGTACTTCTAAGTTCCCCTGAAAGTTTTGGATTTTGTTGATTTGTAGTTGTCTTGGACATTGGGAACCATTTATTCCTTGCTAAAGTGCTCAATTTTCCTGTGAGGACCTAGAAGTGTTTGTAAATAGGCTGCTCAACTGTGGGAGACATCACTCAGCTGACAGTGAACTCACTGTGTCTGAAAGATGCCGACCTGGGCACACTCACGTACATATGCACATACATGTGTCGCACAAAACACACTCTGGACTGAAGTCTGTGCCTGTGATGAAGGCTCCGAAGACAGCCACAAAGCTGAGGTTGATGTCCTTTTGGCCGTTTGCAGAATGGCTTGGGCACAGCTTACAGTTGTCATGCAACTAATTAGCTGTCCTCAGGGCTGCTTTCCTTTTAAAAGAATAAAATGAAAAGGTAGCGTTTCAACACAATGGGCATGGGGACCCCAATCAGCCACTTAATATCACATCCAATGCCACATCCCAGCTGGCATTTCAGATGGTGTCTTCCAGCCTATGAATGGATGCTGCTCTCCCAACCAATTACATTCCATCCAGGGGCCAGCCAGACAGGACTTGGTAAGGTATTTTTTTTCTCTGTCAATGGGATGTTCTTGCTGATGTGAAGGCCAACCTCTCTAGCCTGTTCCCAGATGCAGATGGGTTTCCATGGTGATGGCCATTGATCAGGTAAGTGGGCCACAATAACTGTGTACATCCCAAGCCCTCAGGGATGTCAATAGCCTTCCCCCCTGCCATGTGGTGGAGGGCCTGGAATCTGTGGTAGCTTCACTGGATAGGTCTCAAGAACAACAACAGAATAAAGAGCTCCATCTGCAACACCAACTGAGATCCCTCAGTTTAAAGCTACCAGCAGGGCCCTTGTGGTGTAGTGGTAATGTCCCTACCTCTGGGCCCTGGAGGTTTGGGTTCAAGTCCGACCTATATCAGTGGTCAACATTCATTCAGAGCCGTGTGCCTACATAACCGCTCCACTCCGTTCAATTGACAAGGTGATACATTGACCTCCAAGCTTTGGAAGTCAATGCCAGGTACAGACCGTGGAGGTCGGTACACTGGGGGAAAAGTAAGAGGGAATATTGCCAGTGTTGTGTCATAACATAGAGTCATACTGCACGGAAACAGTGGTCCAACCAGTCCATGCTGAACATAATCCCAAACTAAACTAGTCCCACGTACTTGCTCCTATGCCTCTATCCTTTCCTATTCACGTACCTATCCAAATGTCTTTTATTTCTACCCGCATCCATCGCTTCCTCAGGAATTCTACACACAAACCACCCTCTGTGTAAAAGAAAAATTGCCCTTCATGTCTTTCTTAAATCTCTCCCCTCTCAGCTTAAAAATGTGATCCTTAGTCTTGAAATCTCCCATTATTGGGAAAAGGCAACTACAATTGATACATCTCCTCAGAAGTTAATTTAAAATACATGAAACTGCCTTTGTGATTAGTACAACTCAGTAGCCCACAGCCCTGAGTGAACTGCAGCGATAAATCTGCTTACCAATGTTAGTGACCTCTGGGGTATCTCACAACCTATAGGTCGTATACCCTTGAGAATGACCCAGGGGTGGAGTTGGAAGAAATCCGCACACTTGCTGAAGGAATTTTCAGCTCAGCCTTGAGACTCTAGTGCATTGTGGATGGTCTACAGAGGCACAGGAGCAAACCATTATGGCAGGTATCTTCATGAGGCTCCCCCCCCCCCCCCCCCCCCCCAACCCACCCAACCCAAACCTGCTCAAATGCCAAAGCTTCATACAGAAGAATGGGGAAAGAATGAGGTCAGGAACGAGGGCTCACTCTTGGATCATTGCTTCATTGTAGTAGCAACTCCAGACTCAGACCTTTTGCGTCCAGTGGACAATCCCTGGGGGGCAGAAGTGGACAGGGGAAGGAGATTTACTCAACTGTTCCCTGCCCTTTCTTCTTCTCTGTTTCTGGGAGCTAGTAATTCCGGAGGAGAGGAACATTGGACTGATATTTCCAAATTGACCTTGCACCGTACGTCTCAAATACTAAGTTATAGAGACATCTAGTGGCTTTCATTTAGAAAAGATAATATAAAAATACATCAGTTGTCATTATTAGGAAACATAAAATACAGATGGCTATTTATATAAAACAATACAAAATCTCTCAATTTGAAGTAATCAATTGTATGTTGCACCTTAACCAAATTGTTCAAAACTGCTTCAACTTTTGGATTAAATTTACAGAAAGTAGGGAAACTGCCTTGTTCAGTGTGTTTCAAACATTCCTAGATGGTGAAACATAAGAACATAACAAATAGGAGCAGGAGTAGGCCATTTGGCCCTTCGAGCCTGTTCCACCTTTCAATAAGATCATGATTGATCTTTTCGTTGACTCAGCTCCAATTACCCACCCGCTCACCATAGCCCTTCATTCCTTTACTGTTCAAAAATCTATCTCGCAGATGAGGATTTTACACCCAGGAAGGGAAGAAAATCATGAGTTATTGGGTTGGATCTTGGAAATAGTGTGGGGATTTCACAAGATCCCACAAAAGCAGAGGTGAAGGCACATGGAACTTTGTGTTCTTTTTATCCTTTATGAAGAAAAGGTATATTATAGAGGAATAAAATCTGAGAAGATTTATTTGATTATAATTTTAATTTAATTTCCTTTGATTGAACTTCCTTGCTGGATATCTCGCCCATGACTGAAGTCCCACTGGTGGAGCTGCAAGTAGGGAGTGACCTTCCCCTGGCAGGCAGTGGGAGAGGGAAGCCCCTTCATGTCACTGGTTCATTAAGTTGTACAGTAAGTAAGGTAGGCCAGCTCAAATCTAGGAAGCAGCTCAGTCAGCATCCTCAGCAGTATCCCCGCTAGAGGAGTCCATTACAGAGGATGCAGCCTCATGGAGAGCAGGAAGTGACGTCTGGGAAGTGCCAAGCAGGCAGGCCCCCATTGATCTGGGGAAGGTCATTAAAGACCAGCTGCATGCTTGCTGTGGAGCAGCCTTCATGGACTGTGGAGAGCCCAGAGTGGACCTTCACCCACCCCTACAAGCCCCAGTGCTCACTGTAGCTCCCAGTCTTCAATGAGAAACCTCCATAAATGGCAGCAGGATCACTCCAACATGGGGTAAAATGCCCACAAAGTGGGAGGAGTAGTTATCATTAGCTATCTAAGCGGGTCATTTGGGTTCCTGATGGACTGCCACATTTCCTGTGACTCTCATTGCCGCTGACTAAAGGACCTTCTCACTCCCTGCCTGCCCCTAAAGAGGTGGTCAAATTCTGGCTGTTTGTGCTTTGTATGAAATCGGTTGTGCTGGTTTTACCTCATGGCGGGAATCAGCTGCATTTGGGGCGGGTTTAGGGAGACACTGAGCCTCTGTGACTGGTGCTAGTTGACTCAGTCAGGTGGTGTGCACTCCTCCCAGTCACCATTCACACATCGATAGTCTGTGTGAAGGACAGCAAGTAGGCACAACAAAGATAAAGACATTGAGGGAAAAGCTATGAGACAAATACTGCTGGCCTCACACAAGCAGCTGTACGAGGCACTGACCATTGTAGCAGAAAGTTTCAGCACTGTGGCTGAAGAGTCTGCATCTAACCTCTATGATGTCAATGCAATCCTATAACCTGGAGAGTGAGGCCCATTCCAGGATCTCTGTATCTGGGCAGCATCACAACAGGGGGCCACACTGCTACATCTTGCAGCTTGTGCTGTAAGATCTGACGACTGCCCTGCAGACTCCGGTCTCCACAATAGAGAGACTGATGGATTGAATTGATAAAGGGTTTGAAAGGGCCAGTTTTCATCTACAATCTACTGCCTAGCAAATCAGTGGCAGTGCCAAGGCTACTTTCAAAGGAATGGCAGTGACAAAATCAGGACAGTATCTTCTTGCATCTCTCAGGATGATATAAGTGATTTGGATGGGAGTGTAGGAGGAATGGTTAATAAGTTTGCAGATGACACCAAAATTGGTGATGTAGTGGACAGTGAAGAAGGTTACCTCCAGAGTACAATGGGACCTTGATCAGCTGGGCCGATAGACTGAGGAGTGGCAGATGGAGTTTAATTTAGATAAATGCGAGGTGCTGCATTTTGGAAAGGCAAATCAGGGCAGGACTTATACACTTAATGGTAAGATTGTGGGGAATGTTGCTGAACAAAGAGACCTAGGGATGCACGTTCATAGTTCCTTGAAAGTAGAGTTGCAGGCAGACAATGATAGTGAAGAAGACATTTAGTATGCTTGTCTTCAGTGGTCAGTGCATTGAGTATGTTGCGACTGTACAGGACATTGGTGAGGCCACTTTTGGAATATTGTGTATAATTCTGGTCTCCCTCCTTTAGGAAGGATGTTGTTAAATTTGGGAGGGTGCAGAAAAGATTCACAAGGATGTTGCCAGGACTGGAGGATTTGAGTTATGGGGGAGGCTGAGTAGCCTGGGGCTATTTTCTCTGGAGCATTGGAGGCTGAAGAGTAACCTTACAGAGGTTCATAAAATCATGAGCGGCATGGATACATTCAATTGCCATGGTCTTTCTCCTTGGATGGGGGTGTCCAAAACTGGAGGACATAGGTTAAGGTGAGAGGGAAAAGATTTAAAAAGGTAACTAAAGGGGTAACTTTTTCATGCAGAGGGTGATGCATGAATGGAATGAGCTGCCAGAGGAAGTGGTAGAGGCTGGTATCATTACAATTTAAAAGGCATCTGGATGGGTATATGAATAGGTAGGGTTTAGAGAGATAGGGGACTAGCTCAGATTGGGATGTCTGGGCAGCATAGATGAGCTGGATTGAAGGATCTGTTTCCGTACTGTATGACTCTATGAGTCAATGACTCCATAAGTACTTCCATTGGTCTTCAGGTGAGAGTTATGGTTGTAAAGGTAATGATGGACCACTGCAATTCTCTGAAAGTACAATACATTGATCAAAGTGTATTTGTAAATGTATTTACTGTTCAGCATTTTAGACAAATTGAAATGTGCTGCTAGTGTTCGATCAGTGCATAGGTAGAAACACATTAAAATAATTGAGTCTGCTTATGACGTTTGAAAATGGAACATTTTAGTAGTTTGTAGAAATATGAATCCTTTTCAGCTTTGAAAAGGCCGTGATGCCAAAGTGAACACAACAGTATTTACCACATAGTCTCCGACAACTCTTCTTGTTGTCAAATTGGTTTCCATTCCCATGGCATCCGCTGAAGAGGAATGTTTCACAGTCGTTGATGGTCAGATCGTAGTACCACTTCAGGATGTTGGCATGGCAATCCCCTCGTTCTTTTTGCAGATCACACACTGCGTCTGACAAAGAAGAGAAACACGTTCCAATTTACTGATTGGAAAGCAGAGCTTCACCTCATCCTTTCCCCATATTTGTTTCATTCTGATGTGAGGATTATTTTAGTTATCAGGTATTAAAAGAGACAGAGAATAGTGGATTGGAAAAATGGTGGTTGAAGCTGTAGCTATCATTCTTTCTAGCTGTCAGTAAAATCTCCAGCAGGGCATGCAAGACAGCAGCTTTGTGAGATGTAAAATGGGTGACAGTAAATTGGTAGCCCAGCCTGCCACATTTTCTTTATATTTATCCAAAATGTCTCTCCTAAAGCGTTAAGAATCTGCAAGGTCATTCTTTGGTGCTGTCAGGGGGAGGCTCCCCAGCCCCCACCCCCAATAGAGTTGAAGCCTTAGGTGAGGGTGGGGAGCTTTTTGATCAAATAGGAGGGTGCGAGTGGAGATGATATTCCCTCCCTTATGGACAGCCTTCCTCCCCGGATGCCCACTAAAATCCTTAAGTTGGAATGAATGCCTACTCATGGGCCTGATCACCCCACTCTTGGTGTTCAACTAGCAGTGGGTATCAGGTGGGGGGCTCACCATTGCTGGGAGACCAACAAACAAACTCTTGTCGGGTTTGTTTGGGGTCTTCTAGTGTGGGGCAGCCTTGCTCTAAGGCATTCTCTACCTGATTGAGGGATCTTGCACTGGGAAAGGACAGAACCACTGAGAGTAATCCCTGTGCCCTTTCATCCAACCACCCTCACCCATGGACTCTGACCCCTATCCTGCTGCCATACACAGTTCACCAGGGAGCCAATAACAGTATCTGGTGAAGACCCAGCAACAGCTGATTGAGATAACAAGGTGTAGAGCTGGATAAACACAGCAGGCCAAGCAGCATCAGAGGAGCAGGAAGGCTGACGTTTCATCAGCTTTGTCAACATTCATCAGCATTCATCCAAGATGAATGTTGTCGACTCATTACCTTTTTCTTAATATGTTAACTTATCAGCAATGCTAAATTTAAAAGAAAAACTTGGCAATCCCTGTTTATAAAGAACTTACCTCCATCTGGAAACTTTTGAAGATAAGTAGCAGAGCAGGTTTTCAAACAGTATGTTTCATTCAAAAATCTATTACTGTTTCCTCCTTTTCCAGTGTAAACAAACGGTTGGCAACGGTCACCAGCTGAGTCGTAGAACCACTGAATGCTCCTTAATTTAGAATCTGTCACCTCTCCTTCTTGCTTAGGTTCCATACAGGCTTCATCTGTGGTGAAGGAAAACAGAATATTTTTACAAGTTAATAGGTACACTTGGTTATAAATTAATAATAACTAATACAAAGAACTTGCAATTAGTTAATGCCATTTATGCTTCAAACACATACTTGCATTTATTTTTTCTCTAGTTTCCTTGACAAGCGCCACATTTCCTTTTCAAACCCTGTACCCTCAGCCACACATCTCCAAACTGTTGTCCACCCAATTCTATGTTAGCTGATATTGTAAATGATTTTCTCTTCAGGCTCTGTGCCTTTCTCTGAAGATATTTGTTTCCACACTCTGTCCTCAAAAGAAATTCTTGAGCCCATCTTCCCTAACTAGCTACCACTTCAGCTTCAACCTCTCCACTGTCTTAGAATACATTGTTGGCCATCAACTCACATCTAAGCCTCTCCACAAATTCTCCATTTAAAACACTCCAATCAGGTTCCTCTTGTAACATGGAAACAATCCAAGCCATAGTCTCATATGAATTATCCAGGCTGTTCACCCTCAACTTTCTGCAGCATTTAAGGAATCTTACCAACATCAGTCTTCTATTGTCCACTTCCATCTTACCAGCCACTCATAGCCAAAGGTAAAGTTTCTTCAGTAATGGCTTCTAACTCCACTCTGGCATCAACACTACAATATTTAATCCCCTATTCAAACTCATCTACATTGGCAATACTTGCCAAAGGCATCTTCAGATACAGCAGCAGATTCCATCAACAGGTTAATGACTCTTTGATCTTTCTTTTTACAAGGTATTTTCCATTAATTCAATGCTATTAAACTTCTTGCATGATACCAAGTTGTAAATCTATTTTAATTTCGTGTAGCTTAATATTGGGATGACCAAAGCCAGTATCTTTCACAAGTTTTACGTCCTTACCATGAACTTCAACACCCTCTTTGGTCACTGATTTTCATGAACTTGTCAATTCACAAACCAATTTTGGATAGTGGTAAGCTTACTTTCTGACCCCAGATCTACACCATTGCAAGATTCAACTACATAAAATTGTTTGTCACTACCGCTGACTTAGGTTGTCTTTCACCAAAAATCTCTCAAGTATCTTTATAATCTCCAGACTCAACCATTCCAATGGTCTGCTACCTGGTCTCCTAATGCTTCAAGCTCCAGAAACTTCACCTCCTCTGAAATTCTGATGCCGGTATCCTATCCTGTACAGCTTCTGCCTTAACCACCCCACTATGCCTCAAATTTAAGATCCTCATCCATTCACAGACACATCTCCATAAAGATCTCCAACTCTCCCCAACAAAATCTGTCAATTCTTCTGACACTTGGCTGTTGTGTATTCCTCCCCTTTGCTCCAACATTGTTGGCCTGCTTTAAGTTCATCTCATCCCTGTGCTTTTTAACTTCTCTTCAAAATCCTGCCTCATTTTTCCTTCTCCGCTACATTACCTTGTGCCCTATGAAGCATGTTTCTATATGTAGAAAGATTACATAAAAGTATATCATAAGTACACATTAATGTTGTTGACCACTTAAAGGAGAAACATTTTTTACTGAAGTGAAGGAACTACAAATTAAAAAAAACTCCCAAGGAAGTTTGTTTGCTGAGTTGCAGAATTGCAGAGTATTTATCAAATATCCTGTTTATTATCCATGTTCCACAATATCTGAATTATATCAGTATATCTAAACTAGGAAATTGACTGTTCTTGATTTGGTTATTTTTTGTCATACAGGTTTAAAGCTGAACTCATCCTGTGATCCCATCTGAAAATGCCAATAAGAGGGATCCTTGTCCAGTTTCTATTTGGGAAAATGTTACTATATCCAGTCCTGGTGCTGAAATTCCTGTCTTCTGTTAAAGGCAGCTTGCTTCTCAGACTGAACTGGACATCCAACCTTTGCATCGCTAATACACAATGGCTACTGTATGTAAAATCTATTGGCTACATTGTGCCAGGTCAGCAAGGTCTGCGCTCTGTGATTTCCACAATTGAAAAGGACAGAGAAGGAACACAGTCATCTCCACGTTTCTCTTTAAGTTAAAAACCATCCTAGCATATATCAGTGTTCTTTCATCTTCCACTCGATGTGCTTGAATTTCTATCTGACACATTTGTGGGAGTGCCATAAGTACAAAAACTGCTTTGTTAATGGAATTAGCACCCTGCCCTCTCGCAGCGTAAACTGTAATTCATTTATAACATTCACCTGAATCAGGAGGCTCTGGGTTAAAGTCCTAAGCCCAAGACTTGAGCATAAAACCCAGGCTAACATTGCATAAAACCGTAAGAAATAGAAACCATTTGTCCCCTTGAGCCTGCTCTGCCAGTTAATAGGATTATGGCTGATCTGACAATCCTCACGTCCACTTTCTTGCCTTTTCCCTGTAACCCTTGATTCCCTTATTGATTGAGAATCTACCTTTTTCAGCCTGAAATATACATAAGCACTCTGTGTTCACAGCTCTCTGTGGCAAGAGTTCCAAAGTTCCAATTTCAGTGCAGTAATTTGGAGTGCTGAAGACTGAGAGATGTTATTGTTCAGATGAGATGTCAAATCGAGGATGCTGTCTCAAATGGATACAGACTATTGCACTTTTTAAAGATGAGCTGTGACTGTTATCCAGACCAATATATATCCTTCAACCAACAACATTAACAAATCATCTAGACATGATTACTTTGTTGTTTATGGAATCTTGCTATGCATAAATTGGCTGTCATATTTTCTAAATTACAACAGTGACTACATTTCAAATATTTTGAGTTCTGTGGAAGGGTCACTCGAGCTGAAAAATTAACTCTGATTTCTCTCCTCGGATACTGTCAGACCTGCCGAGTTTTTCCAGCAATTTCTGTTTTTGTCTACATTTCAAATGTGTTGAATTGAATTTCACAAAATTTGAAATTATTCTGAGTTCCTAAAAGGTGCTATATAAATGCAAGTCTTCCTTTTCTCTTTCCTCCATTTTGCTGTGACAAATGGGAATGTATGACCATGCATCTTTCTCCCACTCCCATGAAAGAAGAAAATAAAAGGAAGAAAATAAATTCTCTTTTTCAGCTTGCTCTGAATTTTCATGCTGGGAAATTTTACTGAATTGATTCATCTTAATTCCATTCCCTTGTTGCCAAGCAACCTTATTTATATGCATTTAATGCACCTCGAGTTTCATGTGATTCAACCAAATGTTAAGTATTAAGGCTGAAAGTAATTTACATTGTTCATCAGAGACACTCTGTGCGTGAACTCTGACACCAATGTAACAGATATATTTATTTAACTGTTGTTAATGCTACTTTAGTTTATCTTTTAGGAAGAAAACAGCTTTTGTGGTGAACTACTTCATCAAAGTCAGAATTTGTTTTTTGACATCAAGTCTCTCTTTCCCTTCTCCTTTGAACGTGCAGAATCTCATTTTGGAGCAGGATTCTACAGATGTCAAATATCCTGTACTTTGCAAAGTAGCTGCTCTTCATGAGTGAATATAGATCAGACAAGTTGTTTTATGTCATTGACTGAATGTGGGTGTAACTACCAAAGATAGTATTTAAAACTCATCTCAAACCATTTACCAACCACAAGCTACATGGGTTTTGCGAGTGTAAGCTGACATATACTCTCCATTGAAGCATGAAGAAGGAAGAACCTCCAGATCACCTGACTTTGTAAAATCGTAGACTTAGGGAGATGCAATAGTGGTAAAAGTAACATTGTACAGAACTATATAAATATTAATAAGCAAAACAAAAGTAGAGAAAGATATTTTAAATGGGAATGAGGGGTTAATACTAGGGACTGTCATAAGTACTGCCCATGATGATGAGGTCATATGGACTTGTAGGCAGAACAGCTTAGGTTGTTGATGGAGTGAGACCTAACATCGAGTCCTACTCAACATCTACCACACCAATGTAACCTGCAGTTAGTTGCTAACATGCAAAAGGCTATACCTTGTTAACTACTTACTCTTCGAATAAGACCAGGAAGTGGTTTTCCTCTACCACAATAGACCAAACACATCATTTAGTTTCATACACTCAAACACGATAGCGAAACAACCTTCAGCAGGTGCAGCAGCGCATAGAGAATAGTGAGCTGGCGTGTTCATGCAGTTATACTCAACTGATATGCAGAAAGTATTCACAGGTTATTGATCAGAATAGTCACAGTCTCAATTTCCCTTTCCAAGCCCATGTATGCTGAAGCTAATTACAGTGACCCACAATAATTTTAGTTCATATCAGCCAAATCATTAAAGTTTGTGATGGAACTGGGTATTTTCTGGCCCATGTGGTAGTTACAAATTGAGGGATGGAATTGCTAAAAATGAATTTGGAAGATGTCATTTTTGATTCCTTGTCTGTGCTGTAACAATTTCTGAACTGAGATGACAGTAGATGTCACCTATTCCAGTAATCGGCTTGAAGATATAGACATCAGCTAAGGATGTAGTTGAGCTTGAGAGTGCTCATCACTCTCCGAATCCTTTATGTGAACATATGCTGAATTTCACTATCAGTGGAAACCAATGAAATGTTACTGTGTATATTTCCCAACAACATCTTTGATGACTTTTGAGGATGAGGAAGGCAGTGGAATTAACCAGCCAGACCAAAGAGCCATTGGAAAACCTACAGATTGACATCACAGGTCCCCTAACTAATAACTGAAAAAAACTCAGTACCCAGTGATCATGGACCATTTGACCTGATTGGCAGAGGGGTTCCCAGCGTGCAATTACTCAGCACTAACTGGAGCGAGAAGAAATAAAATCAAGGTGGGGAATGTCTTTCCAAATAGATTTGGATTAAGGAGCACATTTCACATTTCATAATGAAAAAATTATGTCAATTATTAGGAATTAAGCAGAAGTTTCACGTCCTGTGCCATTCTCAGAGTTCAGGCATAGACCAAATGAACTAAATATTAAAAACAATAACACCAAAAGCCATAGAATGCAGGGAGAGGGTGGGTGGGTGTTCTCATTATAATACTGATGCAAATAAATGTGAC